ACAGGAGGAAGGAGGCCTTCAGCTAGAAACCAGAGAACTGCTGGGCTGCTGAGAAGTTCCGATTTCGAATAGAAGGAAGGGTAAGCCACCAGTAACAAAGACTCCAGGAAGAGGCCATACAGGGCCGCTGTGCATCCCATCCCTAGAGCAATGCTGGCCGGCCTCACCTGGCCTTGTCACTTCTCACCAAGGACTGGGCCACCTGGCCTGCCACACTGCGCAGAACAGCACGTCCTCAGCTGTGGGCAGCTCCCTGCCCACCTACAGTCTGGCCCTCTTTAGTCTGTCTTTTATTTCTTCAGGTGAATGACACGCGAGCGGTTCCTTAGGACATAGAACCCGCACACACGGCTCAGGCCTCTACCTGCCTCTCCAGGACACTCGGAGGCCTTTTGCATTTATACCCATGTGGGCACACCCTGGGAGACACAGGCCTTCTTCGCGCCATTTGATGTCAAAGATGCCATTATGCAGCTCGCGTTCCTTCCGTAACATCCCCGGGACCCCCAGAGCCGCTCAGACACCAGGGCAGCCTCCAGCACTGAAGCCTGAGTTTACACTTGCCTTCCCTGAGCAAGCTCACAGGGCTTCCCAGCCCCCACCCTCGCCCCTACCCCCAAAGCACGTTTCATGCAGGGTCTTCATCCTCCAGCCTGTTTAGGGGGCTCAGCCCCTTCCCTCTCCAAGTCCCACTCAGGTTATAGTCACTCTATTGCTGTCAGAATCCTCTGCAGTTCAGCTGGCTCTCCCTAGGACTAGAGCAGCCTGTATGGGACCTTTGGTGAGGTACCTCTTACCTTCTCATCTCCCTGGCTCTCCTTCCTTCCCCTGACCTCTGACTGCACTAGTTTTCCAGCTGTGTGAATGTGTGTGTGCGCGCGCCCATATCTCTCACCATCCCTCAGTGCCCAAAGTAGTCCCATTCACTCGAGGGCTGGAGTTCAGGCCTTGCTGAATTAAACTGCAGCTTTGTTTTCGGGCCTCAACACCCACAACTCTGACCAGCGTCCCTTGTTCTCTCTGGATGGCTGAGAGCTGGAAAGCTGTCAATGACTCCTGCTCAGCAGCAGGGGGCAGCAGCAACCTGTGAAACCTCCCTGGGCCTGCATGACTTCCTGTAAAAATGGTGTTACTGAGAGCAGCACACACCTGCATACACATCAGACACCATTCTGGACACTCCAGAGAATTCGTGTCACATGACTGTGTGCCTGTTTCATGTATGAGGAAACTGAGGGCCCACAAGGTTAAAACAACTTCTACAAAGTTGGAAGCTAGTGGTAGGGCAGGTGTGATGGTTTTCCCGTCAGGCTGCCTGCCTCAGAGCTCCCTCCACAGCACGTGTGGAAGAGGGATGGCCAGTCAGCACCATGCTCACTGAAGAGCACAAGACGAAAGTTCCTACCTAGGGCTGTCAAGTTGGGAAAGAAAAACTTCCAAATTATTGGGGACAGGACCTCAGGTTGTCACATGGTTGGGGTTACAGAGATGAGTAGTTCTGGCCTCCACAAACTTCCTGGGAACTCTGCCCCCTTTCATGTCTTCTGCAGGTCCTGTGAGGGCAGTTTCTCCCCTCTGCCATCCCTCCGTTCATTCCCTTCCCATACTGAGCATCTGTTCAGAACCCTGCCCCATCTGGGCTCTGACACACAGCAACTTCAGTCCTGGCCTCACGGATAGGGACAGGCAGGCAGCAAAGTCCAAGGTGGGTTTTGTTAACATGTTTGTTGAGGAACAAAGCCAGGCAGGTGTGTGCTGCAGCTGGGAATAAAGGCCCCCACCACAGTTAGTTGTCACATGGAGGTGACGCGCAAACTGGACCGTGTCCTTTATACCTTTGCGCACGTGGATGGCTCTAGACAGCAGGGCTCCTCTCCAGTTAGTCATCAGTCTATGCACCCACAGGAAAAGCTGCAGCCACAAGGAGGTAAGGCTCATCACCGGCTGCCCCTTCATTCTCTGGGAGTCCTCCACCTACTTCCTGGGGTGTGTCAGGCTGGATGGGCCGCAGTGGGCTGTGCTGCCCGGTAAGTGGCAGCCACATCCAGGTAGCACAGCCCCCCACACAAGGATCTTTCCATCCACTGGAGAGGCCAAGAGGGACACAGCTCGCAGGGGGCTCAGTGGACTTGGAGAGTCCTTCCCTGGGGCTTCTGTTCTCAGGGGGAGAGGTGGGTTTTCTTTCCCTTTGTCTCCTTCCTGCATGAGACCCTGGAGACCCACGTCACAGTGGGAATGCACTGGAGACATTGGGAGAGGTTGCTGGGATCCTGGCAGAGGCAATGTGACTTTCAAGACGATCTGCAGGGCAGAGGAGGAGTGCCACCTGCTGTCAGAGGCCAGCGCAGTGGGAGGCCATCAGCAGCTCTAAGCAACCCTGCCTGGCCCCTGGTCCTTTTCATCCCCCTTCCTCAGGGCTTGAATGCCACACAAGCACTGTGCCTGTGAACCATGCCCCCAGCCCCCTCCTCTCCTCTCCCAGAGGTCCTTAGGATGGGAGTTGTCTTTTCATTGTGAGTTGTTAGGATGCTAGAGCGCTTCCTGCCACAAGCAACAGGAACCCACCTCAAACCAGCTTACACACACAAATGGGAGATGTGTCAACTGGTCCATTGGATCAGGACAAGGTGGGGTGTGCTGTGTAACAGTCACACCTCCGCAGCATCAAATGACAAGAGTTCATTTGGGGCTCACATTTCATACTGTCACAGGTACAGGAAACTCAGTCCTGTCCTCAGGCAGAGAGCATCACAGATGGCCAGCTCAATCACCACCAATGCCCATGGCACCGGAAGATGACTAGGAGGCACTGTGGCTCCCAGATAAGTGCTCCATCAGAAAGGATGACTTCTGTTTTTGCTTGCATCTTCTCTGACCCCATGAGGCTGGGATGTTGACATGCCTAGAAGGCCAAACACTGGAACCTGTGAAGCGCACAATGACTACTAACTACACTCATGTGCCTCAGTCAGGCATGGCTCGATCCAGAAGCTCCCAGGTTCTACCTCTCAGCGCCTCAGGCCAGCTGTTCTCTCCTGTTGCCTCCCCCATCCCCGACCCGGCAGCTCCAGGCTTGGCTCTTCCTGGTAGCTCTGTGTTCCCAGAGGAAAGGATGAAATAGCGGGCCTGAGGGCTCAGAAGCTGGGGCAGGAGGATCAAGACTTCAAGACTAGCCCAGGCAACGTAGACCCTGACTCAAAATAGGAAAAGTAGAAGGGTGACGAGGAATGCTAGCTTAGTCATAGAAGACCCGCCTATAGCGTCTGTGAGATCCTGGGTTCTAGCCCCAGCACTGCTACAGAGAAAAGCATGAAGCAGCTCAGGTCACATGTCTGCCTTGACTACACAGCGGCCTGGGTTGGGGGGCGGGGGAAGGGAGTCTAGAGGGAGGAGTCTAGTGCCCTGTCTCCAGAGCTAGCGAAGTGGCAGACCCCCATGGGTATTTGCTAAGAGGTTTGCCTCTTTGATTTCTTCAGTAAAAGATCTCAGACAGGCCCGGCTCATCCTGCCCAAGGGATAGCCCCATCCCCTCAAAGCCAAGATGGGCAAAGCCTGGACATCAATGACTGTGCACTCTTGCGGAGTGTGATGTGAAGCCCCCATCCTTCCAGAGAACCTCACTAGCAGCTCTGGTCTTAGGTGAGGCTTCCTAAGGCCTCATGCTGTGCCCTTGGTGCCCACCAGCAGCTGACCAGCTCCTTCCAGCCAGAAGACATCCCTCACCAACCGTGTCTAGAGTCATCTAGTTCATAGCCTGAGAATCTGGAAATAAGAGAGCTACAATCCAGGCTTTATTAAAACTTTATTAAGCACCTGTTGTGTGTAGGGCGGGGATAAAACTGGGAGCAGACCGAGCAGCTAGCTTCATAGCTGTATCTGTCCACCTGCTCTTGTGCAGTGTGTCTGTCTCTCCATCCGGCTGTCGTTCCTTCACACCTTTGAGCATCTTCCTGTTGACCCACTACTAACTAACTCCTCCTAAGCGGTCCAGCTCTTGCCTCCAACTTTGCATCCATGTTTCTTCACAAGGTGTCCCTTCAAAAATGGAGCCCTGAATGTTCTTCCTGTCCACACCCCAGTGAGGGGCTCTCCCTTCTGGGGGGCGAAAAGGCTCCCTGGAGAGCTGCCAAGAGCACCTGCAGTCTGTGGCTCCCAGAGGATGTGAAAACCACAGCACACTTTGGTCTAAGTGTCTGGGGGCGGGGGTGCAGCAGGGTGGGTCTGTGAGCACGTGCAGGAAAGGAACTGTGGTTTTTGCTGCTCTGAAAGCCTCATGCATGCCTTGGTCCTAGGTGCAGTCTCGCTGTTGAAACTGCCAGTGTTCCAGAACTTTCCAGTCCTGAGTCAGATACTGAGGACACTCATGCATTCCCTGGGTGATTCCACCAGCTACCCTGCTTTACACATGAGTCTGAGGGAGCTTTCGACTGACTGCTTTCCAGTCCAGCTCTGCAGACTGGACAGGTAGACAGCCTTTCTCCCTGGACCATTGAGGGGAGATGCTACATCCTGGAATCCCAACCAGGATGGAGGCTTCCCACAGTGTCCAGAGCAGATCAGGCTCTCCACTGTCTCAACCCTATCTTGTTTGGCAAATACCACACCGGAAGACCAGACCGTTCAAGAAGAACAGGACAAAGGGTAAGGGAGGGAAGAGGAGGGAGCAGAAAGGAGGGAGGGAAACGACAACTTTGGCACTGTCTAGCTCCTATGCTACCCTGCTGTCCGGGGAGAACTGTTCCGATACCACCCAGCACTTCTTAGCTTCCCTCACGCAGCATGCTCACAGGAATCACTGGATGCTAGGGGACCTTTCCTAAGTCCCCAGGATAAACATGGCACCAAGGACAGGCAGGGGAAGAGCAGGTACTGGCTACAGAGTGCCCAGAAGCTACTTTTTCTTTTCTTTCTTTCTCTTTCTTTCTTTCTTTCTTTCTTTCTTTCTTTCTTTCTTTCTTTCTTTTTCTTTCTTTCTTTCTTTCTTTCTTTCTTTTCTTCCTTCCTTCCTTCCTTCTTTCCTTCCTTCCTTCCTTCTTTCTTTTTTTAATGTGCATTAGTGTTTTGCCATGGGTTTTGGATCGCCTGGAACTGGAGTTACAGACAGTTGTAAGCTGCCATGTGGGTGCTGGAAATTGAACCTGGGTCCTCTGGAAGAGCAGTCAATGACCACTGAGCCATCTCTCCAGCCCCTAGAAGCTGCTTCTTGTTGGCTCATTTGTGTTCCCGGCACTCTGTGGGTGTCATATAGAGGGTTCTGTGGGAAATATGCTCTGTACCCTCTCCCCATGCCTGATACTTAATATTTTCTGAGTACTTATAGGAGTTTTCTTTTTAATAAGAAGCCAGGAAAAAACAAACAAAACACAAACAAACAAAAAACCTTGGTTGGTGGTACTGCTTCTGAGAGACCAGGCTGTGTATGTCACAGCCCGGAATCCCATTTAGTGCCCTTGAAGGACTCTCCACAGGTACCCAGACTGGAGGTGTAGGCTGACTTTTTCCATTCTCCCACCTCGGGGCATGCACCTGGTCCTAGAAGCCACAAATCAAGAAGCTGAAAGGGACTGTAAACTACACAGGGCTGAGCCAGGGCAGCCAAACCATTCCTAACGTCCAGAAAAGCCAAGTCAGCAGAGTTCAGAAGTGGCCTCTCCAGGCTGCATGGCCTGGAGCCACCCAAACTGGGATTCATAGCTACATCCCTAGGTTCCCCCCAAGCCTTCCCACTCCGATGGGCTCTAGAGGATCATTCCATCCCCTGCCCAGGAGAGAAGACAGTGGCACCTGCTAGGGTTGGGTTTGGTGACAGTGCCCTGGGGCAGCAATCTGGACCGGTCTCTTGTCACTAACCGTGGGGAGTCTGCAGGGGAGGAGTCAGGGGCTCATGTCTAAGAGACACCTACACTCGTGCATGCACACAGTGAGCTCAGACAGACACACAGGTATGACAGTGCACACAAGGCATGCACTCCTCACATATGGATGTGGTAACACACACCCAAGCCACACAAGTACACACACATACCTACATATTCACACTGTAAATGTCAGGCTCAAAGGCCCTCCCAGAGACAACAAGCTTCTGGCCTCTTCTCATCACAGCTGACCCTCGTATGCTAGCTGGCCTGGGCCTCACTGTCCACAGGCGGAGGGGTCCTGACCACCCACTGGCGGAGATAGCTGCGAGGGGGCCCTTCATCGCTCTCCACGGGGCTGCCACAGTCTGAGCCCGCAAAGCCGCTGTCGAAAGTGTCCATGTCCAAGCCAGGAGGGGAGCCTGCTTCACTCTCAGAGCCCCCTCCTTGAGACCCAGTTCTCCAGGGTGGACCTGCTCTCCAGTCCCTTTCCTCAGCAAGGGGCAGCCTCAATCTGTCCAGGAGACTGCCTGGGGAACCTCCCAGCCTGAGGCCACCACCTGAGACACAGCCACAGGGCAGAAAAGTGGTGTTTGAGACCAAGAGCAGATCCTCTGCATTAGGGCCAGCATCCAGGTTCAGGGCTGGGTAGCCGTCATTCCCACAGCTACAAGGCCAGGCACATGGACACTCTGCATCCCCCACAATCACTGTGTCAATGGACACTAAACCGTACGGCCGGTCTCTCTCCTCACTGTAGGCTGAGTGCCCTGGGCCAGCTACCAAGGGCACTGTGCACCAGGGGCCAGGCTCGGCCACTCCATCACACTCCAGCTGTTCTTCCAGACCTGGTGGCCCCAGGAACTTCTTTCCCTTGGCTGGGTATGATGATGAATGTCCATCATGCACTTGTAGGACCGAGTTTGCTGTGGGATTCTGTGGTGCCAGCTCCAGGCTAGAGGCCGTGAAAGGGGTATCCACCCATTTCTAGGAGAAAGAAACATAGTCATTGGCTGAAGTAGATGCTTGGGTGTGAACAGACAGAGCCAAAGACACATGGACACTGAGACACAGAGACGAGCCAAAGACAGGGAGAGCAGAGGAACAAGACACTAGCAGAGAGAGACAGGACCGTAATGAACCCCCGTCCAGGGAGCCCCAATCCTGTCCTCTTTCAGGGCCTGTGTCCCCTCCTGCAGTAAGGACAGACTGCCTTCAGTGTCGTATTCACTCTAGTAACCAGTGCCCCAGCCTAGGATCGGCTGGGTGCTGGCACCAGGTTCCTGTGTCCTGAGGTCTAAGTGACCCAGCCCATACCCTGTCTCCTGACACTTCCTGAAGTCTTTAGTTCTGCTGTGTGTCCACACTAGATCGAGAAGTGAGCCCTGCTCACAGCTGTGTCCTCAGTACCTGACACACAGTAGATTTACCCCAAATGTTTATGGATGGAGTGAATCAGTAACAAGCCATGTGGAAAGGCCTTTAGGGGATCTGGACTGAAGCAGTGGCCCTGAAGCCTTGAGAACCCTCTTGCCCCTTGCCTGCCAGGACACTGATGTCAATAGGAGAGCCTCCATTGAGCTGACTGAGATCACCCTGTAGAGCAAGATTCCAGTTCTGAGAAGGTCCCCTGAAAAAAACATCTCAGAACCACAACGGTCCGCTATCCCTGACCTGGAGTCACTTCTTAGTAGCTGTGTGGCCTTGACCTAGATCCTTGCCCTCCCTGTGTCTCATTTCCCCCAGCTACGGAACGGCCCCACCCACCGCAGTGTCTTGAGGATTGAGTGAGGTAATGCTTGTTTGCTGACAGTGCGTGGCACACAAGATTAACAGCAACATCAACATGGCACAGCAGGCCGAGGTGCCGAGTTTCAGGGATAAGGCAGGGCTGTGGGCACACCCTTGCCCTGCTCTGAAAGGCCTGGGTCTCCTCTTGGACCCAGGGCTGCTGGAACCCCACTTCAGGAGCTACTGTTAAAGGGCAGCCACAGGCCAGGTGCACAGCAGGTGTCCCTTGGGTGCCCTGCTGCTCTGACCTCCAGGTGCTGCTGCAGGTGGCTGTTCCCTATCCTGACATCATATCCTCCCTCTGATGCCTCCCGCCCTGCTGGGTTTGCACAGCAGTGCTGGGCAGATACTCTGAAATGACAGTAGTGGCAGCAGTACTTGGCAGGGAGAGGGATGCACTGTGAGGTAGGACAGGTCCTTCCCAGGTAGGATTTGCTCCCCGCCATAGATCAAGGCCACCACAGGAAACCCCAGCCACCCAGCTCATGCACCCAGGGTCACCCAGTTTTCCACTTTCATGCTAATTCTAAGCTGGAAATACATCACAATATATAAGTCAAAGACCAGCTCTGCACCTTGCAGAATAGGGAAACTGAGGACTGGCTCCAGGTCAGGTTGGGCCTGAATACTCTGGGCTCACAGAGTGGTCTTGGGGTCAGGGTGAGAGTGGGTGGGGCTCCCCCAAAGGGGCCAACAATCCAGAGGGTGCAGCCAAGGTGTCTCACCTTGAAGTTCCCGCTGTGTTCCCTGTACAGGGGCTGGAAGAAACTCTCAGGGCTGGGCACTGGTGCCCATACCTTCTTCCACAGTCTGCAAAGAAAGGGGTGTGTAAAGCCCTGTGGCAGCAAGTAGGAGGTCTGGCCTCTCTCTTGCAGAAGCAACAGCTTCTATTGCCAGGCACCTTCCTACCCACCCATCAGTAAAACGGAAGCAGCAGTTACCCTACCCCCAAGCTTCCTGCAGATGCTCAAGTTCCTGTCTCTGCCATCTATTGTGGGCTAGACACACACTGCCCTCTGGGACCTTGACTTCCTCATCTACCATGGTGGGGGCCGGGAGGAGCCCATGCTGCCCCCGTCAGCTGTGACTGGCACCCTGGTCTCTCCCTTCCAGATTCTCAGTCTCTGTCTCTGAGCATCTCATTGAAGGGGAACAAAACGAGCGTGTGCAGAGCCCCACTCTGTCACTTATAGAGCAGCCAGCTGCAGCACCTGTGGTACCGAGGTGGTACCTTCTGGTTTGAATCAGCGGCCTCCTTTCTCTCCATGCCACGCAGAGCAGAAGCCCCGTATGTAAAGCAGATCCCAGACCACCCTAAGCTGAAATGAAGGGATGGGGAGGGGTAAGCGATCACCCCTCGGGCCTCAAAGTTCACTCTCTGGACAACGTCATAGTCAAGGTCCCCTCAAAGAACACAGTTTCTACCCGACCCTTGCTGCTTCACAGTTGTGAGACTCTGGGCAAGTAGCTTGACTACTTTGGGCTTTGGTTTTTTCTGTGTGAAGAGTGGGGTGTCTGCAGTGTGCCCAGCTCACATGCAGCTATTGAGCTGGGGCAGGAGCTCTACAGTGTCTAGCACATGGAGCATGCACGCTGTTCATTCACATCACTGCTCTCACCAGGTCTCCAGCCCAGACAGACTAGGTCTTGGTTGGAGGGGCTATGGCCCAGGCTGACCCCTTCTCTGCCTCCCTGAGCCCCTGGCCTCACCTCCAAGGCAGGTGAATCTTCAGACCCATGAAGATCAGGACAGGGGTCAAGCCGATCATGAGGAGCAGCATCAGGTGAGGGTCCAAGCCTGCTTTGGGCTCTGCATAGAGAGCAAACCGTGGGTCCAACAGAAAAGTCTCCCAGAAGTATGTGGGTGGGTGTGCTGGGGATGGTGGCGTGGGGTGGAGGGCTGGGAGGAAGTTGGGACTGATCCTTCCCTTTGGGGTTTGTGGAATGACCCCTCCCCCCAAAGGCTCTTGGGTCAGAGGTATGGTCCCAGCCTGGGATGCTACTGGAAGGAGGTAGGACCTTTGGAACTCAGAGCCTAGTGGGAGGAGGTTGGGTCATTATAGACACACTAAAGGAATATTGGGATCCCAGCCCTTCCTCTGTCTTTGCTTCCTGACTACCATGAGGTAAACAGTGTCATACACTTCCCCCAATGCAACAGGGCCTTGCAATCCTGAGCCAAACCATAAGCTAAAGTAACCCTTCTACTCTACCAAGTTGATCATAACAGGTATTTTATTCTCATCCCAGGCAAGTGATGTCATCTCTCTAAGCCTTAGTTTCCTCTTCTGTAAAACAGGGCAATGACTCTCCCCTCAGGGTTAGGAGTCAAATGTACCATCAGAAGCAGCAGCTCCCCTCACAATGTGTGGCTGTATCAGGGGATGGATAACCGAGCACATACCTCCCAGCCATGCTGAGAACCTCAGGGCTGATGAAGCAGCACCAGGACAAGATTTAGTACCAGAAGTGAGGTTTCCCACCAATGTCACACTCACCCTCAGCCTGGGTCTGGAAGATGACAGGGTCACTCCACTCACTCCAGGTCCCCCTGAATGAAGTGCCTGGCTGGGGTGCTGCCCGCACCTGCAGCTGGTAGAGAGAGCCTTTGTGGAAATCTTCAGGGAGAAGGGAGACGTTATATGAGTCCACTGAGATCAGCTTGGTCACCGGCCTCTGGGAGGATGGAAGAAACACGATGCTCTGTGGTCCCCCAAGCCATCGATGGGGTGCAGAGGCCTTCCCCTGGGGTAACAGCAGGCAGGCACCTCAGGGAGCATGCATCCTGACTAGAACTGCCTGGAAAAAGGGCTCCCTCTCTGTGGCAGTGGACCCACCCCGGACTGTCAATGTCCTGGGAGTAACCATGGGCACTTCTGCACATCATTAACCAGAAGCTTCACAGACAGTGAGTCCCTGCGCTCCATGTCTGAGATGACATAGAACATCCTCAACAGTGTACCTTTTTGGAAGTCCTTAATTAAGCCATCTTGTCAATGGATGGCTATAGAAGTCTCCCTGGGAACATTCTAGATGGTGCCCTTTATGGACATCTTCAACCAGGACCATTCTAATAGATGTATAATTCTAGAAGCCCAAATATCTGTCTAAACAGTGGGACATTCTGGAACCTTCCAGCTGTGCCCTCTTAAGTAGCCTCACATTTGAAGCAAGTGGACTGTTCCCAAACTTGCCCCACTGTAACTGAGGTGGACTGTATGGGAGAAGTCAAGGTGGAGACATAGTGAGGGGAGGTAGGAGAGGGTTACATGCTGCAAGGGAGTACCAAGTCCTGTTCCTTGCCTCACTATGCTGGGACCTGCCTGGATACCCCTGCTGCTCCCACCCCAAAGCCCTGCCACCTCACCACAGCATAGGGGTCTCTGAGGTTCCGATACTGCAGCTCATATTGTAGCTTGCCCCTCAGCACATAGAAGGCGGGTTCTTCATAATCTGAGCGCCAGGAGATATCATAACGTCCAGAGAATGTCACGGTCACATTGAAAGGGGGAGCTGGCTTGACTTGGAGGAAGACCCAGAAAGATGAAACAGGGTAAGAATCTGCAGGAAGCAGAGTCCCTCCTGATGTTTCCCAAAGGCCTTGGGTGGCTTTGAACAAAGCACTCCCTGGCCACAGCCCCTGTTGCTTGGACTAGATCTGGGTGAAACATCACAACACTGACTCAGGACTGGGGACTGTGGGGGAAAAGAGGGCACTCTCAGGCTTAAAGGCTGGAGCCAGGACTCAGGCCCTGCCCAGCCCAGCTGGGGACAGGCATACAGACCAAGATCCTCTGGGCTTTCTTAGTAGAAAAGAAAAAAACAAAAGCAAAAGCAAGAAGCAGAAGCTGGAAATCCAGAAGGCTGAAGGAAGTTTCTTAAGATTTAATGTTAGTGCCTTAGTGTGAAAAATCCCCAAGCAATGTGCCCTCATTCTGTGGTTTTCAATTTCTCTCCTAAAGAAGGGGCCTCATGCCACATAGAGATGCACAAAAATAAACAGATACACCCTTTGCCATGTACCAAAGCTGCTGCCCCAACTCCCCCCTTTGCCCATCTCAGCCTCTGGGGACAGCTGTAGCCAGATCCACCCTGGGGCTCTCCTAACTTTAGGCCCCTTGCATCTAGATGGGAGGATTCCGTGTTAGCTGACTGGTGCTCATTACTAGGAACAGAATCCTAGGAGGTCATGTTTAAAGGGTCTTTACAAGGTATACCTTGTCCAGGGTCAGGGAGACAGGGAGGGCTGAGCTGGGTCCCGCCTCACATCTTTCCATGCTCCTCTTGGGCACTGAGACCAAATCCCCTATCAAACCAGCACATCTTAGCTAAAGCAGTGCATCTAAAAAGGACGCTCTAAGGACAGTCGATTTTGAGGGCACGAGAAGAGCTTGCTTTGAGGTCAGAGAAAGGTCCTGGGTCCTCCTCAGCTTGGGGTTCATGGTACTCACTGCTCTCAGCCAGAACAAAGCTGCCACACTCCTGGGAGTTGTTGCCAGAGTGGTCCATCATGTTGACAGTGAAAACATCATCAGACATGAATCCAGACAAGGGCATGTGGCACGTGTACTGCACGTGTGTGGCGTTGTGGCCCGACCCATGCAGGATGCAAGAGGTTCCCTTGTCCTGCAGCTCCTCGTACTCATCTTGCCTTCAGGGACAGAGCGACCAGTCACGCGTGGCTGGGGACAGTGGAACTCAGTGCCCAGGGCGGGGCAGGAGTTCAAAACATGAGGGTGAGAGGGTCTGGAGGTAGGGCTGAGGGTCTCCCGGGGACAGTCCCCTCCCTGCAGTGTCCAGCACACTGAGTCCAGACACAGCTTGCATTCCTCAGAGGACCAGGCGCTCACTACCTTGCTCAGGGCAACAGCTCTCGGCTTTGGGCATTTGGCCCTAAACTTGTCTCTGTCGGTGACAGTGGGTAGACTGCTGTCCTGTAGGAAGGCAAGTTCCTTCCCTCCTTTCTGTCCAACGCCACTGAACACCCACAGGCCTGTGCTTAGAGGCATGCAAGCTTCATTCTCTGCTCTGACAGAACTTCCAGGGACACTGGTCAGGTGGGGTGGTGGTAAATGCTTTGGCTCTTTAACTCCCACAGGGCAGAAAGGATGGGGACCTGGCTCTCAGCTCACAGTCCCTGTGGGTGACATGGCTGGTGGGAGGGACGGGCCCTTGTTTGCAGCTAAGCTTCTTGCCGAGCACGCCACAGGTCAGCTCAGCCCAGGGCTTCCTCCCATCCTGCCACCCTCTCCCAGCAGTTCCTCAGCCCGGGGGGCATGGCTACTCACCAGGTGAGGGTGAGTGTGCTGGGGTGGAGGTGCCAAGTCTCCAGGACACAGGTGACAGTCCAGAGGTAGTCAGTGTAGCAGGTGAGGTCCAGGCAGCCCCAAGCTGGAGGATAGCAGAGAAGCCTTTTTGAGTTGAGAGACAGTCGGAAGGCCTTGGCAAGCTGTCTAAGACTGAGGACAAGTTTGGGCAGAGTCACAGGCTGGGATGAAAGCCTGAACACAGGGACTCTTGTCACCTGAAATTCCTCGTGTGAGTTCCAGCATTTCAAGACTGGTCATGGTGATGAGGTTCTTCTAATGTGGAACTGGGCCTCATGTTTGGTCCCCAGGCCACTGTCCCTCAGAGGGTAGGGCACTCTGAACTCCCCACAGGCTGATGGATGGATCCCTGAGGCCGGGGAGAGTGGCACGCCCCCAGCCTCAACGAGGGGAGGGGTTTAGTGAGGACCGGGAAAGAGTGGGGAAGACTTCTGCAGTTTACTTCCGGTAAAGCTGGCTGTGCCACTGCCAATGACAGCGTGGCTACCAAGCTGTGACCAAAACAAATGCCACGGCCGGCCGGCCGGCCGGAGCTGGCTGGAGGAGTCAGTCACCTCTGCCCTCAGCTTCTCCCCCACCCCCACCCCCAGCCATTTGCTTCACTTTCCAGATGACAGGTGCAGCAGGCAGGGGCACATCTGGCTTCCCAGCATTTGGGGAATGGAGGCAGGTGGATTGCTAGTGCAAGACCAGCCTGGGCTACACAGCCAGCCCCTGTCTCAAAAGGGAAGAAAACGTATCTATTTAAATAATCACTAAACCGAAATGATATAAAATTCTGGATATTCCCCCCCTCTCGGGTTTGTAGCTATGGACGATGTCCAGGGGAACAAAGGGAATAGTTGAAGGGGGTTCAGGAAGAGGGACAAGGCAGAGGGACTATGCTCGACATCCAGTACACGCATAAGAAAGCAATGAAATGGGGATGCAGTCATTGTCCAAATTTTGTTCAAGGTTTGGCCAAATGAGCAGAGCCGTTTTGCGTTTTGCTTTGTAAAGCTGCACCCATATCTTCTCCCCAGACACTGGAAATGTGCCACTTTTCAGTGGCTTCTTCCTTCTGCTTCCTGACCAGTGAAAGCCCTGAACCAGTGGACTTTGCTTCTGGGTTCTAAGCTAGATTCCAAGGCCAGACCTGGGCTGTAGAGGACAGCATCGAGGCTCCAAGGGTAGATGGCTTTCCTGGGCTGCTGAGCTCTCTTCCCTGGGGACCAGTATCTTCCTGGTCATATGCCTGGCAGACTCTACTAGTGAATCCCAGCACTCTCTCCCAGGCTAGCCCCAGAATCTTTTTCACAGTTCTTACATAGCTCCCACCAAAAGCTGTAGAGACCAGGCCAGTGAGATGGCCCAGTGGGTAAAGGTGCTTACTGCCAAGTCCAACATCCCTGGATCTCACATGGGGAAAGGTGAGAACTGACCCCTGCAAGTTGTCCACTTTGGCAACATTCACAGCACATACACATAAAAAGGAAAGGAGAGAGGGAGGGAGGGAGGAATGAGAGAGACGAGAAGGAAAGAAAGAAGGAAACTATATAGTGCCAGGACTTGAACCCAGAACTTTGTGCACTCTAGACAAATACTTACTACCCCTGAGCTATAGCCCTAGCTTGGGATGGGACAAGCCACTGAGGCAGAAAGAGCAGAGCCATTGGACTGCTTAGAGGAGGCTGCCAAGGCCAGAGTGAGTGAACAAGCCAGGCAGCACCCCACAACTGGATGGCAGCCAGCCAGGCATCTCACAGAGGTCACTACAGTGTGCAGAGTGCAGCTGCACCTCACTAGGTAACCACAGCCCCAGGATTAAAATTGCCTCCCTGCTGTCTCTAAGCTGGCTACACAGATCCCCAGCCTCCACGCCCACATTCGAGTGAGGTCAAGCCTGAATCGCATACGCTGCCACATAGAGCAGCCATTTGACACAGCAGCAAGCTGAGGCAGGGGGATTACGACTCCATAGGGAAACCTTGTCTCAAAAACTCAAAAGTGAATGAATGAATGAATGAATGAATGAATGAACAGCAGCACAGCAGGTGCCTAGGGCCCTGCTAAAATTAGGATGCATGTGTCCCCTCAAACGCTCAGGCCACAGCGTGTGTGAGGAGGTGGAGTCTCCAAGGGTAGTGGAGTCCCCAGGCCAAGCTCCTAAAGGGGGGTCTAGTGGTGTTATGGGTGGCTGGAGGAGCCAAACCCCTTTCTGCCCCCATCCTGCCTCCTGCCATAAAAACAGGAGGCCCAGCACCACACTGGAAGTAGATGCTGAACTTCACCAGCCACAGAGCCCGCTGCACCAGGGCCCTGAGCGCCTGACCCTGGGAGTGAGAAAGACACACATTTGTCCATGTCTGTGGGTTTGTGAACATGCATGTGCACATGGGAGTTGAAGGCAGAGGTCTTCTTCCTCGGGCTTTCTCAACCTTGGTTTTTTTTTTTTTTTTTTTTTTTTTTTTGGTTTTGTTTTTTGAGACAGGCTCTCCCATCCAGCCTGGAGCTCACCAGTTGGGCTAAGCAGCCTGGCCAGCCTTCCCCTGGGATCTGCCTCCATCTCGCCAATGCTGGGATAACAGATAGGCTCAGCTGCACCCAGTCCCTTCTGCGGGTCCTGATGCTAGAATGTTAAGCGCTTCACAGAAGCCATTGCCCTGACCATATATCTGCTCCTTATATTTTGTCTTAGTGCCATGGGACTGAGTCAGACCTAAGTCAGGCAGCCAGCCACCCCCAGGGTGGCCACAGGGTCTGCATTCTCCCTGAACCTCTCCCTGTATCCCCCACTGATGGCAACATAGCCAGGCTCCACAGGAGGAGCCGGAGGTGACATTCTAGCCTCAGTGTGTGACAGAGGTCTGTTACCCCACCCCCCACTCTTACCCCCTGTCCCCAGTGCAGGCCCTATAGGGGTTTCCAGAGCAGGCAGCGTGTCGCCATTAGAAAGGGAAATCAAAAGCCGGGCCTGTTCCTGGGGGAGCTATTTAAAGTACTGGATATTTCGGTAAAAACCAGAGCAAATGTTGCTGAGTCTGCAGAAGGTCAAGTTCCCCTTACCCTGGGTGGCCTGCACAGTCTCTCATCTCCCGGCTCTTGACGGGGAGAATGCCCTCAACAGCACCCTTGACCTGCAGCTCTGATGCCTTCCCTCGGGACTGCTAACAAAGTTCTGGCTCCTCTATCCCCACCTCCTTTTCCTCCAGCCTACTGAAGGTTCATGACCCCAGTGAGAGTCTTGCACAAAGAGGAATGGAGGCTAGACCAAGGGCAGGACTTCCTTCCCACGAGGGTGGAGAGCCTTTCTGTTTACTGAGCTCTTTGGTTCCCTGGGTTCTAATCAATCAAAGCATTCAGCTTTGGTGTCAAGTAGACAGAGGCTGTAGATTGCGGGTCAGTGGCCTGCAGCCCCGGCCGGGAACCTCCAACACCATGTGGCCCCTGCTCAGTTTTGCGGGAGCCCATCACATGGGCCCATCGCCCCTGCAGCCATTGGTTGAGACTTACCTCCCTGGAGGATCAGCAGGAGCAAGGGAGCAGCCAGGCCCTGTGGCATGCTGTGTCCCAGACCTGCAAGAGAAGTGTGTGGAATGCGAAGTGAACCAGCTGTGGCCATGCACTACTGAGCAACCTCCCCAACTAGGGTCTCTCCCTGCCACATCAAAGAACCAGTCCAAGGCTCACAACAAACCCCCCTGTTGAAAACTAAAGATAAGGCTAGCCCACAGCAGGGCTTCTTATTCCAGTAGGAGGCCCAACTAGCCTACAGGGGTACACTGGGAAAGCCAGGCCACCAAACAAAGCTGTCCGGAGCCCTTGACTGGCTGAGATGGACAAAGGCCCTTGCAGAACCAAGGAAGTGATGATACTGTGGGCAGAAAACCATAGTTGGCCAACACCAGGCTCCTCCTGCCCTTTGCCTGTGGAACTGCTAGCCCAGGAGAACCACCTGCCTGGGCTCAAGAGCCCCATGCAGGCCAGTTCCTCCAGCGTGGAGCTGGGACCAGGTCCTTGAGGGAAGATGGCCCATGCACGGATCAGGTCAGACTTACGGCTTTTCCCAGACACCATCCCTGACCCCACAATAAGACAATGCTTCATCTGGGGCTCCCTTAGGTCCAACAGCACTGACTGGCCTTCCTGACCATCATCAAAGAAACAGTGTAAAGGACCAAGGTTCGGATGGCCAGCTGTGAGCGCCAGGCCAGCCTCTTGCTGCCTCTGAGCCTCATAGAAAGCAGCCGTGAGGCCCGTCCAGAGCTTTGGAACAATCCAACCAGGTGCTGTGCAGAGAAAACCGAGTATAGGGCTCCGACACACCACAGAGCTGAATGGGCTAGAGCAGAGCCTAGGAGCTTCTAGAACAGAACCCCAAGAAGAACAGTGTGCCCAAGGGGCTTCCAAAATGCCTCACTCTCAAAATTACTTATTTAGTGTTTTTCTATAAGTGGCCTTAAACATTTGACTCCAACCCCAGTCTAAAAATTACCACTGGTGGTCCCCCACTTTCTCCACAAGGACATATTTCCCCCTCCTTTCTTTCCCTTCCCTCTCCAGACAGAGTCTTGACTGTGTAACCAAGGCTGGTCTCGATCCTGCAAACTTCCTGCTTCAGCCTTCAGCCTTCTGTTGTAACCATCGTCGTGGCTCTAACATCAGGATCAGAGTAAAAGATTCTGGACAGCGTCAGTTCAACTTGTTGCCTTGGGTAACCCTGAGCTTGGGTGGCCCCCGCCCTCACAAGTCCTGTGGCACGGTTTGACTGTGTGTCCCCACAAACTCTGTGTGTTAGAGCCTAACACCCAAATCACACTTTAATAGGATGGAGGGAACTGGGGCTAGCGGAGGTCATGAGGGCGGGGCCCATCATGGCATTAGTGAGTTTTAAACAGAGCATGGAGGGGAATGGAATTCAGCGTTTGGCGTTTGCCTGAACATATGGGAGTCTGCCCCCAGCACTGAAAAAGGAAGGTGAGGAAGGATGGGCAGGGAGGAAAGAAAGGAAAAGAGACCCACGCTGGCACAACTGTGCCTCCCCCTGTGCAGTCCTGCACCATGCTGTGATGGTGCGCGTTCCTTTGAGCTTCCCAGGCACCAGACTCTCTGATGAACAAACTTCTCACTTCCCAGTCTCGGGTGTTTTGTTCCAGCATCAGCCCAAACAAAGCCATGCTGATGTTACAGTCTGAAGAGGTGACCTCTGACCCCAGGAGGCTCCAAGTATGCTCGGCTCGGCAGTGTCAAATCTATGACGCCAGCCCCAGCACAGGAGAACTTCGTGTCACATCTCAGCCACAGGGAAAGTAGAAAGCCTCTGCCCTTTGTCAAGAGCCTCTTCTCCCCCTCTTCATACCACAGCTCTGCACAAGCGGCCCTTCTCGTGGGTGGCCGACACGCTTCCTAAACTGCGGTCCCTCAGCCTGGTCCACAGAGCAAGCCAAGCCAACCACCCACTCGCCCATTCGCTCTGCCACCGTGACTAGATAGGGCAAGACACAAGCTCAGGGAAGCCCATGGCAGCCAGCCTGGCCTCCTCTCTAGAACTCTGGCTCTGATGCTTTTCTGGGCACCTACCAGAAACCTGCAGCCACCTCGGTGTCTCTTACAGATGTACCTTGGTTTACAGGTTCAGGGCTTCAGCATGTCCCAACAAGAAGGTGTGGTGGAGAAGCTCAAACAGGAGTGTGAGGCAAAGGGAGCCCCCATCATGGTGGCCCAGGAAACAGGGAGCAAGGCAGGAACCAGGTATCACCTTCAAAAGCCCATCCCCAGCCACAGACTTCCTTTATCCAGCCAGGCTCCATCCCCCGCAACATAGAACAAGTATTTAAACACATAAGCCTGCTGGAGACACTTCAGATTCAAGCCACAACAGGAGGGCTACATTAAGAACATGATCAGCTTGTATCTGATGTCCATCCATATCTGAACCTTCCATTTACATGAGCCCAAACACCCCTATCCTCCAACACTGTTAGTTATAATTCTGTTGCTTTTTCCAAAGAGGCCTGGCATTGCAGAGTGGAGGAGGGGCCCAGCATTGGCAGCCAGCTGATCTCTGACCCTTCTGTCTACTGGCCTCAGTTGCCGTCTCTGAAATGGGCACATTCTTTACCCCTGAACCTCACAGCTGAGAGCAGCCAGCTGTCAGGTGTGAACACCGATTCATGCTGAGCCCCGGCAGCTGTCTGCATGGCCCATTGTTCTCATCTGCCCCCTGTTGCTGTGATAAACACTATGGCTGGAGGGCAGCTAGATAATAAAGGGTTTATTTCTTTTTACAGGTCTCAGGTCACACTCCAGCGCTGAGAGAAGTCAGGGCAGGAACCTGGAGGCAGGAGCTGATGCAGAAGCCATGGAGGGGTGCTGCTCACTGGCTTGCTCCCCTAGGGCTTCCCAACCCAGGACCTAGGGATAGCACTACCCACAGTGGGCTGAGCCCTCCCACATCATCAACCAATAAATGCCCCACAGACTGCCTACAGGCCAGTGTGACGGAGGCATTCTTCAAATCGAGGTTCCTTCTTCCCAAATGACTCTAGCTTGTGTCAAGTTGACGGACACCGACCAGCACAAATACCCTCTCTCAAGTACCCCTGCCCCATTGCCTCGCTGCCGCTGCACCAGCCGAGTCCTCTCCCTGAACCACAGCCCTTCCTGTCCTTCACGTGACGCTTTTGTGGCCCATTTCCTCTATCCAGTTGGGCTGAAATGTTCTAGAATGACTTCTGTCATTCACTCATCACCTTTCCATGACACTGTTCTCTACTTCCTATCTTTACCTTGCTGATCCCCGTTTTACTCCAATAAACTTGTGTCGAAAGAAAACAGCACATTATTACCACTGACACTTCACCAGGATGAAGCCAAGAGGCCAAGGGCAGCATGCTGGGTAAGTGCCCTGAGGAGCTGACACAGACTCAGTTCAACCCCGGGCTGTGTGAGCTCATGCAGGTGACTTGACTATTCTGAGCCCCAGGCCCTCATCTGTAAGTGCTGATGATTAAAGGTCCCATGCTCTCAGAACCCTTGGGAAATTAACTTGGTGCTTGTGAAACACGAGCAACAGCCAGTGGCAGGCTCAGGGTAGATGTTACATGTTTCTGTTTTAATTACATTAGGTGTGTGTGTGTGTGTGTGTGTGTGTGTGTGCATGCACACGCACGTACATGCCTGTGAGCATGCCAAAGCATACATATGGAAGTCAGAGGACAACCTGATCGAGTCGATTCCCTCCATTACGTGGGTCCCAGGTATTGAACTCGGGTCATCCAGCTAAGTACCTTTACCCGCTAAGCCATCTCATGGGCCTACATAAAACTTTCTTAAACAAGCCACAACCAGCTCTCTGGAAAGCTAGCCCACCACTGTGAGAGGTAACAGCTGACAGAAGGAAAGCACAGCCCAGCCACGTCACCTTCCCAATACTCCAGGAGCTGGGGAGCACAGCCCAGCCACGCCACCTTCCCAATACTCCAGGAGCTGGGGAGCACCTCTGTTTTTCTTTAAAAGTGAGGGGCAGGGTGTCAGAAATGTTGACGAATAACTAGCACCAAATGGAGGTGCTGGCTCTCTGCTTTGAGGGCTCCTTTACACCCCTGCCCCGTGGTCTGAGGACATGCCAGTAGCTGCTGCACCAAGGGAACAGGGGTCTCAGTGCTGAAGGGGTCCCCATGACTCTCTCCTCACACTCTCCACACCCAAGAGGTCTTCTCATCCCTCTGGCCTCTCTGTCCTGACTCCTCTCCTGGGATGCACATGAGGCTCACAAGAAAGTCAGGAGGTGTCCAAGAGCTTCTGCAGGGGACCTGAAATCTGCTCCATCCCGGCTATGTGTCCTTAGGCAGGTACCTAGCTTCTCGGATTCTGTGTTCTCTGCTATCAGTGGAGGTCCAGGGCCTTTGCTGAAGTTGGTTGTGATTGCAAATTGCATGGGAAACCTCTCAGACTGTTTATCTACCGGGCCCCAGCACTGGGGTTGGAGGATGCAAACTAATAACTAACCACATTTCAGGAACTCGGAGGGAAGTAGAGAAGGTTGGGGTAGCAAATGAGACTGAAGGGAGGGCCACAGAGAACACAAGAGCCTAATCTCCCAGCAAGCAGAGAAATGCAAATAAAACCACAAAGGTTTACCGCGGACACTTTATCAGATCGGCCAGGACCTAAAGCTCACATGGCCTGACTCAGAGTCTGGTTCACAGGGATTGCCATTCACGCCAGGGAAAGGTGACAATACCACCAGTCTGGAAAATATTTCTTTGGTGACCAAATGAACGCAGACAGCAGCTTCCCTAAGCGCCAGCCACGCCATGCCCGTGCTCACCAGCATCCGAGAAGCTATCAGAAGCCTCGCCAGGTTTAATCGTGAGGAACTAGAAACGACCTAAGTCCTCATTAGCAGGGCATGGAGAAAACAAATGGGGCTTTGTCGGCCAAACACGGGAATGAGTCACTTCCCATGGCCCACACCCACAGCAAAGCAGGTGACCGCCGAGACGGAACGTGTACGGAAAAAGAAGAACGTGGAGGATGATGCCGCCTCTGTCACTCTTGGAGCTACATGGAAC